AATCCAGGAAAAAAAAAAAAAAAAGAATTCTGAAAAATAAAAAAATAAAAACTTCCCCTGAAAAAAAAAAAAAAAGATGTTTATTTGATTACTAGGTTCAGGTAGCTTCTGGCAGTCTTCTCCACTGAAAAGTTATATCTCTCAATTGTGTAAGTCAGTGTTTAAATTGGTGCACTAGTTGTGGTCATTGCTATGAGAGTGTTCCTGGTATTAGGAATACTCAGAGCTCAGAGCTATGCAATGCTCTACTACAGATGCAATATACATCTTGAGAAGACAAAAAATGAAATGACTGAATTTTTAATAGAAAACTTTTATTTAATAAATATAAATTTTGAAAGTTAAAATTTGGATTATAGCAGTTTTCCCCCCATAACCACCCTCCCATCTGCAAACCATCCAATCTCCTATTCCCTCTCCCATCCCATTCTTCATTAAGATTCATTTTTAGTTATCTTTTTACACAGAAGATCAACTCTATACTGAGTAAAGATTTCAACAGTTTGCACCCACAAAGACACACAACGTAAAATGTACTGTTTGAAGATTAGTTTTATCATTAATTCTTATAGTACTACACATTAAGAACAGAAGTCCTACATGGGGAGCAAGTGCACAGTGACTCGTGCTGTTGATTTAACAATTGCCACTCTTATTTATGTCAGAAATGACTGAATTTTATCACCAAAAAGAAAAAGATTTGATTTATCACCTGACAAGGAAAATCATTATTTGCTGCAGGAGATGAACAATTTTTGCAAATTATTATATAAAATATAAGGAAAAGAATTGAAGATACAGAAAAAATGTTGAAAATGCCTTTTCTACTATGTTGCAGATCTGACCCTGTAATTAAGCAGGTCATGACCACTGGTTCAGAGATGAGGAGGTTGAAAGAAATGTCATCATCTGCAGAGAGAAGGTTATAGATAGGAGTCAAAAAATTGCCCGCCGGCGCCGTGGCTCAATAGGCTAATCCTCCACCTTGCGGCGCCGGCACACCGGGTTCTAGTCCCGGTTGGGGTGCCGGATTCTGTCCCGGTTGCCCCTCTTCCAGGCCAGCTCTCTGCTGTGGCCAGGGAGTGCAGTGGAGGATGGCCCAGGTGCTTGGGCCCTGCACCCCATGGGAGACCAGGAAAAGCACCTGGATCCTGGCTCCTGCCATCGGATCAGCGCGGTGCGCCGGCTGCAGCGGCGGCCATTGGAGGGTGATCCAACGGCAAAGGAAGACCTTTCTCTCTCTCTGTCTCTCTCTCTCACTGTCCACTCTGCCTGTCAAAAAAAAAAAAAATTGCCCAACTATAATTAACCTCCAGCTTCTAGATATGAATCTTGAAGCAGTTAATGATCCTCTTGTGCACAGGATGCTGCATCTCCTGGGACAGAAGAGTGCCCCATCCCTCATTTCAGACTCTAACTTTATCTGCCTGCATGTCCTCCAACTTCATGACTTTCATGAGAGTCACTGGGGAGTTAACCAATCAGGCAGATTGGTTTTCTATTTTCTAATAGAAAAGTTTTCTATTTTCTAATTGGTTAACCTATGGAAAGGAACTACAGGGAGCAAGGTCTCTGGGTGCATAGCTTTGCAGCCAACACCTGCCTTATCACTGTTCACTTAGGCTGCTGTGCATCCTAGCTGTATTATAGTTTGGGGATAGCTTATTGAATGTACACAATTTAAGTTATTGCGATTATATTCTATTTTACTGCATAGATAGTATAAGAAGTAATTGAGCATAATGTAAATAACATGTTTTCAAGTGGGATAAGAAGTATGCAACAATAAGTTACGCTATTTTAAAAATATTTCATGTACAGTTTAATGAAATTAAGTATGTGCACATTTTTATGTAAACACAACCTTTCATATTCAGAGGCTGTTGGCTAATGAAGTGTCCTAGAGTATTGGCTGAATATGCTGAATTGTCTTTGTTTCTAGATGAGCATTTGAGTGAAGTATCCCTATAGCATTGTAGCTATAGTCAGTGTTTCCTTTTTGAAGAGAGGAGAGCTGCCTCACCTCAGCCAAGATGATGCAGGAAGATGCCCATGGGAAAGAGGTGCTTGAAATGGTTGACAGTGATCAAGTTCCCTTTTCAATCTAAGAAGTTCAAAGAGATGCATTTTATCAAGATTTATTTATTTATTTATTTATTTATTTAACATAAAGAGTGACACAGTGACAGATTTTCTACATTGTGGTTCACTCGCCAAATCCCCGCAAAATCATGGAAGGCTAAGGCTAATTCAGGAGCCCAGAATTCCATCTGGGTCTCCATATGGGTGACAACAACCACTACTTTGGCCACCATTTGTTGCTCTCCCAGGCATAAGCATAAACCTGGATGAGAAGCGGTGCAACTGAGAACTGAACTGGTGCTTCAATATGGGACATGGGCACCACAAGTGATGGCTTAACCAGCTGCACCACAACACCTGCCCCAAACTATAATCATTATTGGCAATGTCTGGGGATACCTTAGTGGTCTAGACTGCAGAGGTTGTGGGACTTAACTATCAGTGGAAATTCAGCTCTCTTAGGTAGAAAGGGCTTGCTGTCAGCTCTGAGCCTGGTTGATCCAGGATGCACGTGTGGGATTGCCATCAGTTTTTTCAAGTTGTAAATAATGGACAGACTACCCTATAGTGTGTCGAGTAGCAAGGTGAGGTACCTGTCCATGCATAAGGGTGCATGTATCCTGGCCCCACCAGTATCCATGGGCTGCACAGGTAGTTTCACAGGGTCTCCAAGGCCCAACTTGTCTACAAGCTACTTCTTGGGGCCCAGATTGGTGGGAAGAGGCAAGCATCTGATCCCAGTGCATCAATGGGCCAAGATTCTGAGAATGGCTGCTCAACTGATTCTTCCAGCCACAGAAGGTTGGGCAGGGCCACCAACACACTCCCAGGGGTCTTGGTGGGCCATGACACACAGAAAGATTGTGTAGCTCTTTCTCAGGGTCATGGGCGAGTGGTTAGGGCTGGTCAGCTGTTTCCTTGGGCTTCTAAGGGACATGAGGCTCAGGGCAGGTTTCCTGGAATTTTCCTAGAACTGTGAATGTATGTGAAGGGTCCCTTGGCTGCTTCTGAGGCTGCAGAGGGTGGTCACGGTCACCCAGTTTCTCCCTGTAACCAAGGGTGGGTGGGACCTCTCACTGGTTTTCTGGCAGCCTCTTTAGGTATGTCAGTGTGGGCCCCTCTGGCTCTTCCTTTGGCCATAGTAGGGTGAGCAAGGCTTCCTGCCTGATCCATAGGATTGAGCTGGTAGAATTTATGGAGGTAACTTCCTAGATGTCTCACAGGATCCATGGTGAGTGGGATCTCAAGATGCTTCTGTGCAGAAAGAGTCTGGGTGATGTAGGAGAGTACAATATGGGTGGAGCTCTTTCTCTGGTGCAATGTAGTTATTTGGTAACCCAGCAGATCCCCAATCTGAATGTAAGGTATTCTGGTAGTAAATGCTTCTGGTGTTTGTGCAAAGAGAAGGCACAGCCAGGAACCACCTGCTTATTCTTTCCCCACCAAGAAAAGTTCCCTTTAGATCAACGGTTGATCTCAGGAGGCAGAATGGTACATACTCTGTGCCTAGTTCCTTTCTTTATATGGCCACCATCCATCTCCTTGATTTGCAGTGCCCTGTGCTCATTTTCTTGCCCTCAGTCCCTAGCAGGTGAATTCCTCCTCTATGCCCTGCCCAAGGCTGGAGAGGAATGGTGAGGCAATCATTTAGCCACCTGGTTAACACAGTTCCAGAGCTTCAATCCAAGGTACTAGCTTGTATCATGTGCTAGGTTTCACCACAGCAAGCCTGGTACTGGGTTTCAAGTCTAAGGATTGCCTAACATCTCTTTCCCTCCCACACACACCTCTCTCCATACTACAATGTCTGGAGTTCAGGGAGGGGTGATGCAGGCAACTGTTTCCTTCCTACACTAAAATCAAGCACTATAGTCTCCTACTCGGTTTCCCATGCTCTTGTAAATATAGGTTAGTGTGTGAGTGGTGTCTCTGTGGGGATATTAGTAGTGGAAAATCTTATCAGTCACCACCTCGAGCTCTTTAGTAATTCAATTTTCAATTTTTTGAGGAATCACTACATATCTCATAGTGGCTGCACCATTTTACATTCCCACCAGCAGTCCACAATATTTCCAATTTCTTCACATTCTCACCAAGACTTATTCATTTCTGATTTTTCCCAATAGCCATCCTCCTGGATAAAAAAAAATGACATCTTACTGTGATTTGGAATTTCATTGCCCTAACAATTGGGACGCAGTGCCATATGCTTTTCATATGCTTTTCATATGTTCAATATCTGCTTTACAGAAAAGTTTATTCAAGTTCTTTGTCCACTTTTTAATTGGTTGGTTACTGGTTACATTGTTGAGTTTTGGTTCATCTCTGCACTGTCTACATACTCACTCTTAGTTATTTCCAAAACAACAAGAAGAAATAATTTTTTAAAAAGTACAGAAATCAGTGAAATTGATAACAGAACATGAAAAAATGCACAGGATTGCTTGTTTTTCCACGCCAGAGCTAACACATTAAAAAATTGCATGTAACAAACCTTCTTGTATAAGCACTGTGCTAAAATTGCAGAAACTAGGACCATGTCTTGGTTTTTGTAATAATGCTAGCAGAGTACACACAAGAAGAAGAGTAACTGCACTAGATTGTAAAGACTGGGGTGGACCTCTTTCTTAATGTCCAATGTCCTTTGTCTTAAAATTTGGTGCAATATGTTTTTGAGAGTAAATTTCATGACTGATCATACTGAAAATAAACTGACTGTCTTTGAAATCTTTTGTCTTTGAAATCCCGTAGGAAAAAAAAACATTGCATGTAACAATCAAGATGGGTTAAGTGAAGGTAGTATATTACTAACTTGCACTTTTTATTTCTAGGCTCTATTCATATGTTTAATAGCATTTCCATTTCCTCTTCTGTAATTTGTTCAATCATTTCCCCATGTTTCCATTTCTATTGCCTGATTTTATTGGAATACTATTAAGAACCAACAAGCTATATAATAATAAGTGTAATAGGAACCCAATATTTTATGAACCACTTTTAATCTCATGTGTTTATATAAATATATGTCATTCTATGAGTAAGTACTTACCTATTAAAACATATAGAAATATCAGACATATAATTGTACACCTATACACATGTGTTTTCTTACAAATGTATGCCTTGTTTAAATGGTTTTCCCTTGTGGATAAGCTGAGAAAAGCTTAATGGGTGATTTTACTTCCCACTTAGTGCAGTTCAAGAAAAAAGGAAGAAATGACATTTTGAAAAGTAAATTTTCAGTTTGTATATCTTGGAGAGAAAATGAAACTAATGATTATAGGGTCATGATATAAAATTACCATTATATTTCTGCAAAGTATAATATAATGTGGTGAAAAGGAACAAAATAATGAGCCTAGTGAGCCTTTACAGAAATTCTGTTTAGGGGGAAGGAGAGAAGAGCACTCGTAATATATGATTAGCAATGTGAGAGAATATATGCCTATTTGAAACTTAGTTGAAAACGCAAATACTAATAATATTCCAAAAAATTATTTAGCAATTACAGTAACACCAAAGAAGGGCATGAACTGTAGTATTTAAACTTCCTTATGGCTGATCCTCTCAATATTTCCCCTGACAACTTGTAACTGTTCTGAACACAGCTTCTGTCTTTCACATCCAAACTCCAGCACCTCTAGGTGGCAGCCAAGAGAGCTCTCTTCCCTCCTAGACTTTTGGCATCTTTGTGCCTATCGTTATAAGGACCAGCAAGACCTCTTGGAATTTTTTTTCATTTGTTATTCACATTAAGTACAAAAAAAGGAAAATCTGAGAACTGAGTCAACAATTAATGATGCTTCTATTTAGAACAGGAAGAGAAGAAATGGCTCTAAATTGCCAAATACCAATCATCTTGCTCAATTTTACAGTGATAACATAAAAAAAAATTAGCATTAGATAGGAATTAGCCTATGTGGTGGTCATTCCAAGAGTCACAGAATATAAGGAACAGTAGACACATATTTGTGAAGAGACCCCAAAAAATTCTCCCAAATGGAGGTTGGATATTGAGAAATGAGGAAATGTCAGAGGATATGTCAGGGAAGGGACCCATGATAGGGGAAGGAGTTGTATGGTGCCTGGAAGAGAGGAGCTGCAGATGACAGCTCAGCAGCAGCCACGTGGCCTGCCCTTCTTCAGGCAGGAATGAAGCTGAGCTGGTACAAGGGTGGCACACGACCTAGCCCACTGACAAGTGGGGTGGTGTCAATGTCCTTTGGGTCAACCAGAGGCTTCGGGGTAAAGTTCTGCAAAATGGCAGTCAGGAATAAAAACAGCTCCATGCGGGCCAGGGCCTCTCCCACACACACTCGCTTTCCTGAAAATAACAAGCACAGAGGGTTTGTTATCTAAAGATAACGTTGTGAAACTGTCACAGGAAGTGTGCAGTAACTGCTTGGTCAGTGATGGAATACACAGTTGAACGGAAGATAGAAGGGCAGGTTGGGTATACAGATGGACAGAGGATGAATGCTTGCTATCCACATACCTTCTTGTATCAGGAATTCCTCATTATCATTTACTAAATATCAGTTCTATGTCACACATTTCTTTAACTACTACCTCATTATAACTGCTCTTTTGACATTCTGAGTTTCCAGCAATCATTTTCAAGAAACACAAATTTCTTGTGGAGGTGAGTGACAGGAGAAGAGTTAAGATGAGGAAACTCATATACAAATATTCCTCAAAAATTTCATGCTAAAATGGAATCAAAAAGATAACTTTATTGTGGCTCAAAATGATTAAATCCATTATAGATTTTCCATTTTACACATTTTCAATGAACTGTTGAAGACCTCTCTTATGTATGGATTACCTCACAACAATCATTTTAATATTCTATTTTCCACAAACTTTTAGAAGTCTCCTCATATTTTATACCTCTTTGAACTTCTGGCAGAATATTGTTTTTTTACTTTTTACATGATGAACTCTTTATATAGTGGAACATTAAGCCTTTGACTATAATGTAAATTTAAAAGGCTACCTCAAAAATTGTGACACAAAGAAGAAAGGAAGGAAGGAAGGAAGGAAGGAAGGAAGGAAGGAAGGAAGGGAAGGAAGAAGAAAGAAAGAAAGAAAGAAAGAAAGAAAGAAAGAAAGAAAGAAAGAAAGAAAGAAAGAAAGAAAGAGAGAGAGAGAGAGAGAGAGAGAAAGAAAGAAAGAAAGAGAGAGAGAGAGAGAAAGGGAGAAAGGGAGAGAGAAAAGAAGGAGGGAAGGAAAGATGGAGGGAAGGAAGGAAGGAAGGAAGGAAGGAAGGAGAGAGAGACAAAGGAAAGTATCAATATATTCTTAGAATTGTATCTATGAGCTGTGCTGAATCTCTTCTCTTTGTATTAGTATAAAATTAACATGAAAATTGTGATGTAGTAATTATCATGTATTTTCTGTCACACTTAGAATCAATATATTAATAAATTCCTTTTAAAAATTAAATGATGAACATTCAAACATATATTTTCTTTCCCCAGGACAATTTCTTTTTTAATTTTTTCATAATATGATTTTTTAAAATCTTTATTAATATAAAGAGAATAATTTCATATATCTCTTAGATACAATTCTAAGAAGTTAGCCATATTTCTCTCCTTTCCTCCTTCAATCACCCCTCCTTCAATTCTTTATTTTTTGCAATAACATACTTTCAATTTATTTTATAATCACAAGATTACATTAATCATAATATTCAACAAGTAAAAAGTAGAAAGACCACTGTTCCACAGGAATATAGACAAGGGCTATAAACAGTAATCAAATCATAAGATATCAGTTTAATTCTTACATGTTGTGGCTTTTGTATTCTATTTTAACTATCATGTATCAGAGAAGACATATGATTTAGTCTTTTTGGGACTGGTATAATGCCAATCACTAAGCATAATGCTCTCTAAGTGTATCCATTTTGTTGCAAGAGACAGTGTTTCCTTTTTATGGCTGAGTAGTATTCCACTGTGCATGTATCCCACATTTTCTTTATCCAGTCATCAGTTGATGGACATCTAGGTTGATTCTGTATCTTAGCTATCCTGAATTGAGCTGCTATAAACATGGGGTGTACAAACAACCCATTCAAACACTGAATTTCAAAACCATATGTCTAAACATGTCATTCTCACAGTTTAAAAATTTGAATGGATCACTTTAATGTCCCATGGAATAAGGTCACGTTGTGGTTCAAAATGGTTAAATCCATCAATCGTAGATTTAATGTACTGTTTTTTCAGATGCACAATTAGGAGCACTATTCTGATCATTTGTGCAATGTCAGTGGACCATGAATATGATGAGAAAACCTAGTGAAGGTGAAAAGACAGATAGCATATGTTTTCCTGATCCAAAGTAACCAATAGAATACCAAAAATGTAATGTATTGGAGTGAAATAGACATTTTGAGAATTGATGATTGTTTATTGTCCTTGTCTCTTCCATTGAGGAACAGTATTTTGTTTTATTTTCTTTCTCTTCATTCTATGTGTGAACTCTTTTACTTAGAGTATGGTTAACTATACGATCATTAAGTTACTGAAAACAGATCATTGTGAAAATTAAGAATGGGAATCTGAGGGAGAGGGAGGAAGGGTTAGAGAGTGGGTATGAAGGAGGGTAGAAGGATAAGTCTCATTATTTTCCTAAATCATATATATATAAAATATATGAGGCCGGCGCCGCGGCTCACTAGGCTAATCCTCCACCTTGCGGCGCCGGCACACCGGGTTCTAGTCCCGGTCGGGGCGCCGGATTCTGTCCCAGTTGCCCCTCTTCCAGGCCAGCTCTCTGCTGTGGCCAGGGAGTGCAGTGGAGGATGGCCCAAGTGCTTGGGCCCTGCACCCCATGGGAGACCAGGATAAGTACCTGGCTCCTGCCATCGGATCAGCGCAGGGTGCCGGCCGTGACGGCCCTTGGAGGGTGAACCAATGGCAAAGGAAGACCTTTCTCTCTGTCTCTCTCTCTCACTGTCCACTCTGCCTGTCAAATAAAATAAAAATATATGAAACCTTTAGAACTTAAATAAAAATTTAAAAATGTATTTTGCCCCCTAAATTCCAATGGAAATGAATTTCTGTCACCTGTTGAGAAAGGCATGAAGTAGTCACTTTTCCTAAACTTGCCGCTAGCATCCAGGAAGTGGCCAGGGTCAAATCTGTCTGGGTTCGGGAATTCTTTGTCGTTGTACAGCATAGAAGTCAGTGATGTTATTACAGCCGTGCCCTGAAAGAAGCAGACAAACTGAATCCTAAAGAAGCCAAGGAATGGAAGAAAGGATGAAAATCACCTCATTCAAGCTCTTTGTCTGTAGATGAGGAAATCCATGTGCAAAAATCTACAGTGACATTCCAGCAAGACTAAGTCATGGACAGGATGAGTTCTAGCCCAGCAGCAGGGATTTTCCTCAGAGGCCTGGAATAGCATCTGATGTGCTGAGTACTTGGGAGCTCCAGTGCCAAACCCTCTGCAGCTCACAGATGCTTGCACACCCTACCTACTGCTCGGATCCTTCACTTCAGTTTTCACCTCTGTGATATGTGGGAACTTATCTAAACAGGAAGCCTGTGCTGGCTCTTGAGAAATCAAGGGGTTTTGAAAACTGTGCATTGGGCTTTTCCAGTGAAGGCCTAATCTAAACTATTAGGACTTCTGGGATGATGCCAACAAAATACACTGAAATCTATTTAGTCCTCATTGTTTTGATTCCACATGTATCTTTTCACTTAAAAAAATGTAGGGAAACTCTTCATTACAGCTAAATGCTACCTGGAAAACAGACAGCAGGGCAGGTGTTTGGCACAGTGATTTTATGCCACTTGGGACTGCATGCATTTCTGTGGCACTATCTGCCTGTGAATTTCAGCCCTGCTGGTGATTCCAGCTTCCTGCTAATGTGCACCCTGAGAGGCAGCAGGTAACAGCTCAAGTACTTGAGTCTCTGCCAGCACACTGCAGACTCAGATTGTACCAGCGCATAGATGGCTGACCGCTCTCCTCCCTCTCTCCCTCTCACTGCCTTTCAGAAAAAAAATGGGGGGAAGGGTAATTTTAAAAACTGTAATAGAATAATAGAAGGAATGAATAGTTAGAGAAATCATCATTTTACAACAATTTGGATAGAAACATTGATACATGTAAGGATTCTCAATTAATAATTGTTAGGTGACTTTCCATTTAGGAAACAGGATGTTTATGAGGTTATTTACTAGTTGCATTTACTAATTGCATATGAAAATCAGAATTTCAGCATGGGAAAATCTGTCCGGTATCCCAAATAAGGGAGGACCTTAGCATTATCAGCGCTGAATCAAACTGAACAACTGACCCGCGGCATACAGTGAAACGTACACAACATCCTCTGTGTAATATTGTTGCCCAAGGAGCATCTCTAGTCTCCAATAAACATTCACGGAAAGTGAGACTGAGAAACATTTTCTTCTGACACATGGCCTGAACTATCAGTTACTAAAAATAAAAAAAAAAAAAAGTGAATGAACTGTTGTGGATTAAAGGGGGCTAAAGGAACAAGACAACAAATTAAATGCTTATTTATTGATTGTACTTGGAGATGTCCCCCTGAAAAAGCTATAAAAGACATTTGAGGATAGCAGAGAGTATATGACTGTAGAATTAATAATTGTAATTAGGCATCATTGTTGTGCCAATGAAAATTCCTTGAGTATGAGAGCTATAATTGTTAGGCAGCATGAATTGCTTTATCTTGGGAGACACAGATTAAAATATTTAGCTTTTAAGTGTGATAGAATAAATACATATATAAATGATTGAATAAATTTAGACGTGTACTTTTCATGTATTATATATGCAATTAGCACACATATATATATATATGTAATTATCACACATATGTAATTAACACACATATATTCATATTTAAGTGTCATCTCTCCTGGGGATCAGAAATGAAACAGGGGTACACATATTTATGACTTTTATTCAACAATGTCCTAGAAATCATTCCAGTGAAGTAATACAATAACAAGAACTTGAGAAAAGAAAAAAAATAAAATAAATTGCAAAATTGTATACATAGAAATTACATCTGACTCTATAATTATCAGTAATGATGTATGAATTTAAGAATATTGGTAGAAATCACATTATCAAAACAATAAGATCAGGCCGGCTCTGTGGTGCAACGGGTTAATGCCCTGGCCTGAAGTGCTGGCATCCCATATGGCCGCCGGTTCAAAACCCACTGTTCCACTTCTGATCCAGCTCTCTGTTATGGCCTGGAAAAGAAGTAGAAGATGGCCTAAGTGCTTGGGCCCCTGCACCTACATGGGAGACAGGGAAGAAGCTCCTGCCTCCTGGCTTTGAATTGGCGCAGCTCCGGCCATTGCAACCAACTGGGAAGTGAACCATCAGAAAGAAGACCTTTCTCTCTCTCTATCTCTCTCTCTCTGCCTCTCCTCTCTTTCTGTGCAACTCTGATTTTCAGATAAATACATAAATCTTTAAAAAAAATAAAGTCAATTATATTCCCATATACCAGAAACAAATTAAAAAGTAAACTATTACAATAAACTTAAAACTGTGTGTTATTTAGGGGAAAAATATATCTGTGCAAGGCACAGCACTAAAGATATAGAGAAAATTTAAGATCTCTCAAATACATAAATAAATAAATCTATGAATTGGAAAATCAAAACTATCAAGTCACCAACTTAACCCAAAATTATCTATAGTTTTTTTTTATAAATCGAATTATTTATTTACGTATATAAAGGTAACAGATTTCATGTATTTCACATATACAGTTTTGTTTTTTTTGTTTTTGGTTTTGTTTTTTTTTTTTTTTTTTTTGACAGGAAGAATTAGACAGTGAGAGAGAGATACAGAGAGAAAGGTCTTCATTCCGTTGGTTCAGCCCCCGAAATGGCCGCCACAGCCAGCGCACTGCGCCGATTCGAAGCCAGGAGCCAGGTGCTTTCTCTCGGTCTCCCATGCAGGTGCAAGGCCCAAGCACTTGGGCCACCCTCCACTGCCTTCCTGGGCCACAGCAGAGAGCTGGACTGGAAGAGGAGCAACTGGGACAGAACCGGCGCCCCAACCGGGACTAGAACCCGGAATGCCAGCACCACGGGTGGAGGATTAGCCTAGTGAGCCGTGGTGCTGGCCTCACATATACAGTTCTAAGAATATAAAATGCCACCCTCATAGAAATCCCAAAAGAGTGCTGGAATAATTGACAATTTGATACTTTTATTTATTTATTTATTTATTTGACAGGCAGAGTGGACAGTGAGAGAGAGAGAGACAGAGAGAAAGGTCTTCTTTTGCCATTGGTTCACCCTCCAATGGCCGCCGCAGCCGGCGCGCTGTGGCCAGCGCACGGTGCTGATCCGATGGCAGGAGCCAGGTGCTTCTTCTGGTCTCCCATGGGGTACAGGGCCCAAGTACTTGGGCCATCCTCCACTGCACTCCCTGGCCACAGCAGAGAGCTGGCCTGGAAGAGGGGCAACCGGGACAGAATCCGGTGCCCCGACCGGGACTAGAACCCGGTGTGTCGGCGCCGCTAGGCGGAGCATTAGCCTAGTGAGCCGCAGTGCCGGCAATTTGATACTTTTAATGTTTATTTGGTAATGTAAATACCTAAAATAGTAAAACCTATTTAAAAAACAAGGCAGATTTTTAAGGCTGCAGCAATCAAGACATGTTCTATCATTTTTTTGTAGCCTGAAATAGCAAGCAGCAGAAAAACCTATCAAGCTGTCCCACATAAGAGTTTTGCACTACTCTCATGTTGTGCTGTTAGAGGATTGGAGTTATAACTCTGAGTTTGGGAACAACAAGAGCATAGACATGTAGTGAAAGAAAACAGCATACCTTGGGAATGAGGTAGCTCCTGAATTTAACGTTACAGGTTGTTGCACGGGGCACGTTGTTGGGGATGAGGTTAATGTATCTCTGGATCTCGTGCACCGTGGCATCCGTGTAGGGCATGCGGCTCCTGTCCTGCATGCAGGGGCTCCGGTGTCGGCCAATCACACGCTCAATCTCCTCCTGCACTTTAGCTGAGAAGACACAAGTAAGAAATCTTGGAATAGGAGACATGAGGTACATTTCTCAAAGCAACTGAGGGCTAAGTGAGGCATGAGGAAGATGTCCACACAGTCCTAAAAAAAATCATAGTACACAGAGACCTACAGAAAGAATGGTTGCGTCATAGGCACAGATGAGGAGCTTCAAAATATTCATGAACTATCCTTTCTAAGAAAAACTATGCATGGATTTCAATTTTTTCTAGGAAAATTAGCTTATTTTTAACATCATTTTCAATTAACATTTTGAAGTACTCTGATATGACTCTCTTACAAGCTAGGCATTGAGATAAATCTGTATATACCTGAATATTAGCAAATGGTGTAACTAATACAAATAGATCTGAAAAATGCTTCAAGTTTAATTACTTCATTTTAACTGAAAATTACTGTCTGAAGAATCGACGACTAATTTTATATCAAAACAATACATTTTTAAATAGAATTCTATAAACAGATCTGCATTTGGATATGAATTTGTGTATTGAGTGTAGGTTCATTTGTAACTTGGAATCTCTCATCCATATACACCCCCAAAAATGCTTGTTTTGAAACATTCTAAAAGTTTCTTCAGAAATTTAGGTTCACCAGGTCCAGCATTGCAGCATAGCATATTAAGTCTCTACCTGCAATGCCGGCATCCCATATGGGGCTGGTTCAAAACCTAGATGATCCAGTTACAATCCAGCTCCCTGCTAATGTACTTGGGAAACCAGTGGAAGAAGGCCAAAGTGCTTTGTCCCCTGCACCCATAGGGAAACCTGGAAGACACTCTGAAGACAGTTAATGATGCCTGTGCCTTTGCAAACCCCATCCTGTATAGCCCAGACATTTTTTCTAGGCTTGTGACAATCCAGAGCTCTATGACTTTTGCTCCTACTCAAGTTGTCTTCACTGTCCTCAACTGCTCTCCCTCTCATTCACATTTCTCTCACTTTATCCCTTCATCATATTTGCTAAATCACAGCTAGCAGCACAGAAATTTCAGTACTGAATCTTCTCTAAGAGAAACAAGAGGGAGGACATCAGCAGTGGCTTCCCAGCATGTCTCCCTGTGTTTGCCCACCCTTTAATCATGAACTTACCTATGACCTCTGGGTGCTTCATCAGGAGCAGGAGTCCATACCTCAGGGTGGTGCTTGTGGTCTCTGTTCCAGCTCCAAACACATCAGTCACTGTGGTCATCAGGTTTTCAATGGTAAATTCAGACTGTTGGTTGTCCTTTTCCTAGGAATTTTTTGATTATTTGATATTTTTGTCAGCATATTTCATCACCATCAAACCAAAATAACTCAGGTTTACTTAAATATAAGCATGCTTATAAAGTGAAAAGGGTGATATTAAAACTAAATCAGCTGGACAGATCTAGAGGCCATGAGGTTAAGTGAAAGCAGTTACACACAGAAAAACAAACACTGTGTGTTCTCCCTCATATAAGGGAACTAAAAAGACACCTCAAACTGAACACAAAAGGTGGATTACTAGGGGCTGAAGGTAGAAGGTAGGACAGATAGGGGTATTTTTAATTTAAAAAGGGGGCCAGCTTTCTGGCATAGCAAGTTAAGCAGCCGTTGGCACCCCATATGGGTGCCTGTTGGAATCCCAGCTGCTCCACTTTCAGTTCAGCTCCTAATGCATCTGGGAAAGCAGAGGAGGATGGTCCAAGTGCTGTGACCCCTGCACCCACATAGGAGACCTGCATGAAGCTCCTGACTATTGGCTTTGAGTATGGCCAAGCCTGAGCCTTGAAGCCATTTTGGTCCATTAATGATGACAAGCATTTTATACTAGTATGTAAGGTATTAACAGGAAAGCTGGGTATAGCTTATAGATTGTGAGAAACTTATCATACTAGTACAAGAGGTTGACAACAGGTAAAGTTGGGTGTGGGATATATGAGAATTCTGTACTGCTTCTCAGCTTTTGCTTTGTAAATTTAAATCTAAAATTAAAAAGCTTAAGAAAACCAGTAACAACTGCTTGGCACCTGATTCCATGGAGTTTAAGGTCTACAGTTCTAGTTCTGTACTAACCAATATGAGACTTCCTGAACATAGATAAACACACTATCTTTGAAGATATTGTTAATATTGTTAATTGAGCTTTCATTTATTAGTTTGAAGACAAAATTTTAATTCATATAAATGGGTGAATTAGGACCATATGTTTAAAAATGTTGTAAGCCAGAATCAAAAGGTTGTAATTTTCAGAATCTGACTTCAAACATGCTAGAGTTTCCTCATTCTCCCTCTATTCATGGATACTCTAAATAAACATAAATTCACAAATCTATTCCCTATGAGAGAAAGCTAGGTAAGTGGAGACACTCCAACATACCTGCCAACTGAGAAAATATCCACATGAAACTGAAAATAACAACTGTGGCAAACTCAGATATTGATCCCATTCTACTCTCTGTGACATACAATACACCCCCGAAAAGGAAATCACCCAAAGTGATTTTCTTTCTTAGAACAGAGGTTTTAGACCACTCATATAATACCAAACCCTATGGTTTGGCTCTTAATTCATGAACTCTGTGAAAACACATACATGGGTCTCCAGGAAGTTTTATATAGGATGCAAACACTTCCAATGGTTTCATCTTCTGGGATTAAGGCAGAAAAGGAGATAAAACACAAAGATCCAAATTTCTCCCTGGCTAGCATAATCTGCCAATGATGACACTGCTGACGTGTGAGCTTCTGTCATGAGTCTGCATCTGGACAACAAACAGCAAACCCCTGGAATCCTGAGCAGGAGTTTGACTTTTTTTTTTAATCTTTCCCTTAAGTACCATAGTGATCTGTATATGTATACCCATTATCCTATAAGGGACATATCTGTGCACTGTGACATAATTTTTATAGTTCTCATTGCATCCACAGCCACTTTTTTGTAGAAGATTATTGGCCTTTCCATTCATGATTCCTCTTAGATCGTAAGAAAAAAGACATGCAAATAAAATGAGTCAGCAGCAAGCAGTTATCTCCCCATGTTCATGGGAAGCAGTCAGAATATGACTACAGGTGTTTTTCACAAATCCTCACCATAAAAAAGTGGAGAGTGTAAGATGAACATTCACTCTCATCTCCACTGGGAGGATAGAAGGACTGCAACACATATCTACACCCAGACATTTTTAGTTACATGTACAGAGTTTGAATGCTGCCTTCCCTATCTTATAGTATCCACAGGGAAAAGCACATCCTCACCTTTAGTGACCACCATAAACAGAGATAGCTGTTATAAAAAGAGAAAGATTTATGAGGCATCTTGTAATGTCTGGTCTGACAGATTGGTGAAACCCTTCTACACAAGGTCAATCTAATAAGACTGGGAGCGTCAGTATCTGATGCACAAAAGACTATCACAGGGAATCTAGAAAGATTAAGAATGGAGATACATTTCGGCGCTGCGGCTCACTAGGCTAATCCTCCGCCTAGCGGCGCCGACACACCGGGTTCTAGTCCCGGTTGGGGCGCCGGATTCTGTCCCGGTTGCCCCTCTTCCAGGCCAGCTTTCTGCTGTGGCCAGGGAGTGCAGTGGAGGATGGCCCAGGTGCTTGGGCCCTGCGCCCCATGGGAGACCAGGAAAAGCACCTGGCTCCTGGCTCCTGCCATCGGAACAGCGTGGTGCGCTGGCCGCGGCGGCCATTGGAGGGTGAACCAACGGCAAAGGAAGACCTTTCTCTCTGTCTCTCTGACTCACTGTCCACTCTGCCTGTCAAAAAAAAAAAAAAAAAAAAAAAAAAAAAAAACCTGAATATAACCCTACCATTCAAACATCCCACTCCTTATAATTTACACAAAGGAAATGAAATTGGCAAACAAACAAGCTGTCTGCACATTAATGTTTATTGCAGCTCAATTCACAATAGCTAAGACCTGGATCCAACCCAAATGCCCATCAACAGTAGACTGGATAAAGAAATTATGGGACATGTACTCGATAGAATACTATACAGCAGTCAAAAACAACAAAATGCGGTCATTTGCAACAAGATGCAGGAATCCGGAACACATTATGCTGAGTGAACTAAGCCAGTCCCAAAGGGACAAATATCATATGTTCTACCTGATTGGCAACAACTAACTGAGCACCAAAGGGGAAACTTTTGAAGTGAAATGGACACTGTGAGAAACAGTGACTTGATCAGCTCTTGTCCTGACGGTTGATGTACAATGTAATACTTTATCCATTTTAGTATTTTTTTTGTTCTAGTACCATTGGTTGAACTCTGTAATTAACACACAATTATTCTTAGGTGTTTAAATTTTAACTGAAAAGTGATCCCTGTTAGGAATTTGGAAAACATTATGTTGAGCGAAATAAGCCAATCCCAAAGGGACAAATACCACTTGTTCTCCTTGATAGGTGACAACTAACTGAGCACCAAAAAGGAAACCTGTTAAAGTGAAATGAACACTATGAGAAACAGTGACTTGATCAGCCCTCACCCTGACTGTTGATGAGCAACTTAATATGTTATCCCTCTTAGTATTTTTTTTTGGTTGTTCTACTTAATACTTTTGGTTGTATTTCAGGCATGGAAAGCCAAGACACTCTGGCAAAAGATCTCTGCGAGTGAGATGCCAGTGGAAAGAACAGGTCATCAAAGAAGGAGGTACCTTTCTCTGAAGGGAGGAGAGAACCTCCACTTTGACTATGACCTTGTCTAAACAAGATAAGAGTCGGAGAACTCAGAGGGCTTCCATAGCCTTGGAAACTCATGACTGGAGCATAGGGAGATTACTGATGCCATAGACAGGAGTGTCAATTGGTAAAGTCAACAACAGGAGTCACTGTGCACTTACTCCTCATGTAGGATCTCTATCCTTAATGTGCTGTACATTGAGACTTAATGCTATAACGAGTACTCAAACAATATATTTCACTTTGTGTTTCTATGGGGGTGCAAACTGTTGAAATCCTTACTTAATGCATACTAAACTGATCCTCTGTAAAAAAAAAAAAAAAAGAAATTATCAATTCCCAACTTGACTCTCACTGGGATTAAACATGACAATAGGTCTGCTCTGATTTCATCATCATTTAAAAAAATCATCTATTATTTTTCACTTTATGTTTCTGTGTGGGAGCAAACTGTTGAAATCCATACTTAATGTATACTAAGCTGATCTTCTGTATATTAAGATAATTGAAAATGAATCATGATGTGAATGGAAGGGGAGAGGGAGTGGGAAAGGGGAGGGTTGTGGGTGGGAGGGACGGTATGGGGGGGAAGCCATTGTAATCCATAAGTCGTACTTTGGAAAATTATAAGCATTAAATAAAAGTTTAAAAAAAAAAAAAAAGTACAGATGAAATTAATTTAAATAATTAGCACATTATGTTCAAAAACACTATCATTTCAACATGTAATCAACATTAAATGTCATTATGAGCTATCTTTTTATTGTACCAAATCTGGTCTTTTTAAGAAT